AGTGAATGTATTCTACAAAATCGGTCTAGTCAAAGTGTACAATCAGATACATGTGGCAGCAGAGGATATCGCGAAAACAACCATTATCGCTACTTCTAGCTTGTTTGAATTGCTGAGCATGCCTTTTGGCCCTCGGAATGTAGCACAAACGTTTCAACGCCTTATGGATGATGTCTTCTTTGGTTTGGAACCGGTCGTGTCAACATCAATGACTGTCTTATTGCTACTATTATTATTATTATTATTATTATTATTATTATCATCATCATCATCATCATCAATGACTGTCTTATTTCGAGTCTAGGCAGGGAAACTCACCCTACGCACCTGGACCTTGCACTCAGCAGATTCACAGAGCACCGTTTCATACTCAGCACACAGAAGTGTGAAATAGGAGTAGAATCGCTAGGCTTTCTCGGTCATACTATTGATGACAAGGGTTTTACTCACTGACAGATGAAGTAGAGACTATAATAAACCATCCAGAGGCCACCAACGTGTAGCAGCTTCGCACTTCCAATGCCCTAGCAAGTCATTTCCGAAGGCTCATTCTTAACTGCGCTTTTGTCATGAGATCTACTTCAAGAGACCATCAAATGTGTGACTCTGGACAAAGTTGTTAGACTTGCTTTCCCCAGGGTAAAGGAAGGCATCCCAAATCCAATCATGCTTGTTCACCATAACCCCAATGCTCCTCTGAGTATTGCTGCTGATGCATCCAAATGAGTGATCGAAACAGTCTTGCAGCAGCTGAATGACAACCAGTGTCAGCTCAGTATCTGATGAGTACTCTCCATGTGAGTCGTGACAACCGGGTTACATCTTCCAGTTCACGTCAGATATCTGACACGTATGTGGAGCAAGTGGCTTCCCAGCCGAGGCACTGTCTGAATTAGCTTCGCCAAACAGTACTGAAGGTGTTGATATCGTGGAATTGGCTCGGCTTCAAAAAAATCTTAGGCTGAACCATGGGTTGTCATCCACAAATCTCGAGCCGTAACCGTGTCCAGCAGGATCAGGTTAAGATAAGATTTAATGCGGTGTCCCTGATGGTCTATATGCACGAAGGTTCCGAGAAGATGTCGATACAACGTCTTTAATAAGTTGCATACAGTATCCTACCTAGGTGTAGAGGCCACTATCAGACTAACCACGCAACGATTCTGCTGGCCAGGAATGAACAAAGACGCTAAGCAGCGGGCTCAGTTGGGAGTAGTTTGTCAAAAGTGTAAAGTCGCACGACACAAGAGAAGCCCTTTTGGTTCTTTTCTAGCACCAGACATGCGTTCCGATCAGGTCTATGTAAGTGGGCTAATTTAAGAAGTATGTCAATTTTGTCACAATCGTGAGGCTATCTTAACGTTTGCGACAATGCAACACTGTGTGCAAGCATTGGTAGACCTGAAGTTGTGACGGTTGCTGAATACATTTAGACGTGCCTTTTTGTTGTGTATAAGTTTCCTAATATCCCTAGAAGTATCTAGTTTCGACTAATTAGTATCTTCACGTCAGCTGCAATCCCTTGCAACTAAACCCTAACCATGGGTACTACATCACCCTGACGCTACCTTTTGCAACAATGCAACACTTTTTCCACCACAAAGATTATTATACCATAGAATACAAAAAGCCTGTAAATCGCAAGAGATGTGAACGCGATGAGATCATGCGCCTACAGGGAGTTCCCTTTGACACAGATACAGTGTGGGAACAAGTACAGGTCGGGAAGTCAACCTGTAGACACTTCCACTGTCCATAATGAGCTCTGTGCCGTTGCTGCGATTAAATACCTTCAACACTTCTCGTTATTCGGATGGCGTTATCAAGCCGAGAAGGGGCATCATAGAATTGAGAGAGTTATATAGATGTCTCCGGTTTCTGGCGCTGAGTGCTTCCAATCTTCTGAGTCGGCAACAACGGCTGAACCACTTGAACGTTTTATATACACTTGTCAAGAGGATCATTTCTTCGCAAGCACCGTTTCAATTACTGATGAGAACTCTCAACATGATTTCCGTACTGTTACCCAAATTAAATTTTTCATGTGAGTACGCCGATGCCCTTACCTCTTTATTCAGTAGCCGATTTGGTCATATGTGCCAATCACTAGGTCCGCGGTGTTGACTAAGCAAATACATTTGTTAAATCTGAAGGATTATTAGAAAATCAAGTGATACCTCTCAACATCATGTTGTGATAATTCTGTTTAGGTACTCTTTCACTGGGATATCACAAGTCTTAAGTCCAGTGATTTGGTATAACACTGGATCTCACCTTCCTACTGGGTGCTCTGCTTAGGTGAAATACATGAGTATGGATCTCAGCATTACTGTGCGTTGTCTGTGCAGTTGATATTTCACATCTAGCACAGTCTATTGCAAATGTTACTGTGATGAAAGTACCTCATATAATACTCCTAAGTTGCCCAGTATTCGATAACGTCTTCTGTTTTCTCCAGTCTTGTCCCAGCCAGCAAAATGGCCGCGCCAAAAATGAGGTCAGTAACCAGCACCCAACGCAGACAGCGCCCGCAGAATGCATATTTGGCTTTTCGAGCTGAACTTATCTTTCTCTGTTCATGCTGTAAGTAGGGTCGATACAAGTAACTTCACCACGCTGGTATTATGGGGACACTAGGTATGCTCTAGGTATGCCTACAACTTACTAGACCATAAAATAAAGCTTACCTGGAATCATCAGGCTACTTGGATCGTGAACGTCACTACCAGTGACTATCTTCCGAATTTCGTCCTTGGTATACCCAGTCACTTCGTTAACCTCGGTTGAGAGTTGTATCCAAGGGCGTATATTTTCTTCCTCTTCACTGCTCAGCCTTCCGGAATAAGCATCCTTCTTCATAAGTTCAAAATCTCACTCGTGATTGTGGACAGTGTTTACCTCACTCAAAACACCTAAGGCTGTTGTGATGGAAACGAAAACTTGAACGACAACGTGTATATCTGCAACTACGAATATGATCGTCTAATTACCTTACGAGAGAAGTCGCCAGCTTAGGCTTCTGGATTTCCTTTCAGATCAGTATGCGCAACGGAAAACAATCAGGTAATACAGCAAATCTGGATCCAAATGGTTCCGTTTACACTTTGTAATTATATGGTGGGTTCATGTATACTGCAAAAGCTTTAGAAGCACGAAGATGTATACTTTCTTCAACTGTTCAAGTTCGTTGACGACTTGAACTCAGCTTCAGTACCGACGAGTGCACATTACACCATCAGATACCCAGCCGATATCCATGATCACGTGCACCGCCGAACCTCTCTCGCCTGATCCTTGAGTATAAGTGTGCAAGCAAATGAAAACGTACCTCAGTTCGCTGATTTTCACGGTCTTCCATTGCGACACTATGCGCTATATGCATGCTTGGCCTGGAGTGAACAGTAGCAGCTACGCATGAAACAGAACTTACGGAGAGAAAAGAAACTAGTTCTATGCTGTTCCAACAAGCAGTACTGTCATCCCAGTCTGTCATTAGTTTGCCACCATACAAACAACAATTCAGAAAGTCATGGTGATCGGAGAAACATTACTATCCTCATCAACGGGTTTCCGGATTGCACCTGCTGTCAAAATTGCGGTTACTTTTGATGGTAAACAAGAAGTAAGACAGCTGGCTGAAATTCGTGGGGGCATTTCCCAGTACCTTTCCTCGAAAAGAGTCGGTCTGACGACCACTTCCATCATCCTGCTATTCGGTTACGGTGAATTGGGTTCCAGAAAAGGTCAGAAACGGGTTTGAAGAGAGTAGTTACCTAAGACTGCAGGACTGAAATCGTCACATCCAGAGACATTAACTTGTGACAGTCTGAATAACTTCAAGAATACATTTTGTATATGATGGAAATGTGAAGGTCTTTCGTCCGCACCACTCCTTGGTTTTGGTGTTCGAGACGGGAGTCTGAAATTCAAATCTTGGGTCCAGGGGCTTGACTTTTACAAGACAGCCTAGTGTTTAAGCTGCGACCTGCTGTTAGGTAATCAGCTATCCTGTCGAACTCCTATGTATATAAATTTCGTAGTTTTAGTTTGTAACTTCGTCAAATTTGAATGACGGTCAGTCGTTGTGGCTGGTTATTTCATTGTTGCTATGATTGCCGATTAGTTGGTGAATCAGGCAACCCCAATTTAACAATGAACGCCATTCGACGCAGAAACAATCCATACTATTAACCTCTCTTCTATCCATCTTAGGCGCGGGGTTCTAAGTAACAGTTAGCTTGACATTTTTGCCGGACTGTGGCGGATTACCCCACGAGTGTTACACTTCGAGCTCACATAGTATCCGTCCATCAGAAGCAGGTTCCGTTCTTCAGGCCGAGATGCACTTGTGAGGTGGCGAAGTCGTCATTTTGAGTGCCCTATAGTCGAGTTTTCAGCTTTGGGAGTTAGCAGCACTCGAAGGGGGAAAACTTAGGGTAGACGATTAGTCAGAAAACTGTCGTGTATCAATGTATGGTCCATATATGATGAGAGGATTGCACGCTCTGATACGTGTATGGTGCAGGCAATAGGAAATAATCACAGTAAGGAGTTAAACAGTTTGGAAGTGACATTACTGCCTAACACTGTTGTTGCTACATGACAGGTTGCACAAAGGACTATCCTGCTTCCCCTTCCGAGCTCTGTACCCTTTCTAAGGAGTCAAAAGTACACTTCAATCATTTCGTTAAGAAGCATAGGGGTTGAATGAGGAATTACAGCCAGGAAAATGCTGCCGTTATGTGGGTGTTCCTACACACATTATTTTCCTTTTAAATCCTCCAACTTTCATTGCTTGCTTTCCAGAATGTTCGGCGTAGAGAAAAGCTACTAGTCGTATACTCCTGTAGGTGTGACAGTATCATGAATAGGTTCAAACTTTCGAATGTCAAAGATATTTGGTGAAAAGATTTTTTCAGGCATGCAGCTGAAATAAAGCTCGCTCCAATTTTACAGAGTCTGTTGAAATTAAAATGGCCTACATTGTAACCTTGAGTGTCATAGTTTGGTTTTAGAGCAAGTTTGAATTGAGATGACTGAGGTCATGAAAAACCCGATTGGTAGTCTAGTCATTGGCGAAGTAAAGCATGTCGATTTGGTCAAATTTGTGTTTTAGGAATGGCTTTCGAAGTTAGCTTGTTACTTGGAAACTATAATTAGCTCGAAGAATGTTGAAGATGTCAGAGCGTCGAAACAAACGTTTCTACAAGTATCTAAGTCGATCTTATGCAGAAATCTTTTAGAGCATCGAGAAACTAATTCAAATTTTTAAAAACTTTGGCTCGGACTTAACAGATACAAACAATAAGATTCGTGAAAATCGAGAAGTTGTTTACACTTTGGTAAAGCAATTCGATCGGATAGGTCGCTTTTGTATGAGTGAAATCCCAACAGTTGTTCAGAAAGGTACGTTCTTTCTTGACTGACTGAGTTCGCGGCATTTTGTTACTTTTTACGTTCTGAGTGTATAATTAGTGATTTTAGACGTGTCATTTTTCAATATTATGGATAGCAAGCTGAGTAGCCTCTATTATTCCTGGCTCCAAAATGTATGTTAAGACTCGGTTTCTGTCTCAATGCACTGAATGGAAAAGTTCCTACTGTCATTCCTGTCAGCAGTTCTCAGTAATTGGTGATGCTGTGAGAGAATCTGACTTCAACTGGTAGTTTATTCGGCTGTGAATTTTGTACCATTTTAAAGCGCAGGAAACTGATGCTTTTCGATGTTTCGCATCTACTCCTTGGGAGATCATTCTTGCTGTTTTGCTATCGCCTGCAGAAGACAGAGAAACACCTTCTACTTTCTTGGTTGTAGCTCCGCTTTCATAAGCGTTTGTGGGTTGCTAATTGTAATTTAAAGACTGAGATGGCTAGAAGATACAAGTTGCTAGAGGACAAGGGTCTTTACGGCCGCTCTCTCTACAGCTGCCCGAAACCAATAACTACATAAGCTCTACTTCCGAAATAAAAGTGAATAGTATCGGCCTAGTGACTAGAGAAAACCTCACCTGGTTAACCAGTTCATTAGTTACTAGCCGGTCCTAAGCCCAGATAAAGAGGGAAGGTTGGGCATAGAGCTAGCAACCCTTCCATGGAAAACCAATCCAACCACTAAAAAAACTTCAAAGCACAAAGAAAAAACAAACCTATTCCTCACTGGAATCGGGGAGGCGAAATCACGCCGGTTGGTGAAAGCCTTCGGGAAGCCAATTGGCCGATATGTCTTCTCTTCCCTCGATGAAAGCGAAAGTAAGAATGGGGACATGGAATGTCCGAACAATGTTTGCAGCTGGCTGGCTGGCTGGCAAGGCTGCCCAAATTGCAAAACAGATGAGAAGGTTTCACATTGAAGTGCTAGGAATCTGCGAAAGTAGGTGGAATGGAAGTGGACTCTCCAAACTGTCAACTGGAGAGTCAATAATCTACTACGACATTGTCACCCAGACGAAAACCACGAGCACACTCAGTTATAAAGTGGCTATCATGATGTCCCCAAGACCACCAAAGGCTCTCATACAGTGGGAAGCAACAACCTCCTGCAGAATCATGACAGCAACATTCAAATCAGAAGGAAGGAAAGCCACAATCATACAATGCCACACTACACCACACTACGCACCTACAAATAATGCAGATGAAGAGAAGCAGGAGGAATTCTACAGACAACTGCAATGAGTACTGGACAAGACTCCATCCCGGTTGGCGACATCAAAATTCTAATGGGTGGGGTGACATGAATGCGAAACTCGGAGTGAACAACACAGGAAGTGAACTCATAATGGGTCGAGAAGCACTCGGTGAAATGATGAATGAGAATGGAGAATTGTTTGCAGATTTCTGTGCATTCAACGATTTGGTGATTGGAGGCAGTGTGTACAAGCACAAGGATATTCACAAAGCGACATGGATTTCACCAGACGCCAGGACACACTAAAAATCAGATCGACTTTATCTCAATCTGATGAAAGTGGAGACGCAGTCTCCTAGACACAAGGTCAAGAAGGGGAGCAGATGTAGGTTCACACCACTCACTATCTAGTGCAAGGAACCTTCCAAATCAAGTTGAAAGCCTTCAAGGAAGTTGGTGATGATAGACCACAGTTCAAGTTCAACACACAGAACAGAAACTGAACTGAAGGACAAAACTACAAAGGACATCTTCACGTCAGCCATCAGAACAAAATGGGAGACATTGAGCAACATCCCTGAAGGAACCTGTGTGGAAGAACACTGGAACTCTTTGAAAGTGATGTGGAAAGAAACCTGCATAACAGTATTAGGGAGGAGGAAAAAACAGGACAAGGAATGGATATTGATGGACGCATGGAAGCTGATAGAGGAGTGAGAGGAAGATGATGAAACAGAAGGTGAACCAGTGCAAGGATGCACAACGAGAAGAGGAAGTGAACACAACCTATAAAACACTACACTGGACAAAGAAGTGAAGAAGAGTGCACGCAAAGACAAAAGACACTTCTACGAAACACTGGCAAGTGAAGCAGAACAGGCTGCAGGTAAGAGAGGTAGAGACCTGACAACATTATATCAAATAACCAGGTTACTATCTGAGATGGAAGAGATCAACACACGAAACCAGTGAAAGATAGTGAAGGAAACCTAGTTACCACCAAAGTAGAAAAATAAATGAAACAATAGGCTGACCACTTGAAAAAACTCTTCGAATGACCACCACCTGCAACTCGTCCGGAAATACGACCAGCAACCGCAGAACTACCAGTGAACACAGGCCTCCCGGCAAAAGTAGACGTCCTGAATGCCATAAAACTGCCGAACTTCGGGAAAGCAGCAGGACCAGATGGGATCCCGCCAGAAGCACTGGTCCTATGAGTGACCCTGGAGCCCAAGGGACATCTTTTTAAGGCCGGTTACACGCGGCCTTTCGGCAGTTGTGAGGTTCTGATGTTTTACTTCCGAATTTGACCACGAATCCCTGTCGCAGGCATCGACATACTGTGGGGCGATGGGAGTGTTCTATTTTTCGGGTCGACCTTTTCTGGCCTCTCTCTCTCGGAGGGAGGGCAGCATCAACTTGTCACTGCTAGTCATTCAATGGGAACACCCTACTTTTTCACATCGTGACCCAGTCAGCGGTATGACTTTACCATTAGACCCCAATCATAGCGTAGCAGTTTACACTATAATGGTAACTGCTTTTTGTCTAATGACCATCCAACAGCCTTTTCTGGTATGATAGGACGTCGGCGGGATAACCATTTTACTAGTATAGCTCGTTGGATGATTGTTATATGCTAGCCCGACCACCACGTTAAGATAGTAGCTATCGTTCGGGGTGAACTTTCAGTTCTCCAACCGTAATGAATTGCTCTCTAAGGAACTTTGTCTCAGAGTGTACTTCACCTGATTCCTGCTTCCTCATGCCTCTTGGTGCTTGGTATGATTTCTTATTGAGTAAATTCAGCATGACGACTTATTCTACTGCACGCTCATGGATGATTATTAGGTGCCAAAATGCTATTTCCTTATTGCTGCTTTCAGAGTATCTCACATCTCTTGTTGCCATCAAGTGATGTTCGTTATTTAACGTAAAAACTGTCTTCTAATTTAATAGTAGTATCTATTTCACGAATTTCTTTTAAGTTTTACAGGCGTTGGTAACATTATTTTCAAAGTTGTCTAAGTGCTGCTAATTTGAGCGCACTATTACAGCTAGATACAATAGATAGCTTCATGGCAAACGAAACATTACGTTGACCTGTCTAACCTCTAACTGTTGATTGCTTTTGCGTACAAGTCTATGATCTTCGAGTGAACACAAAAAGTATGAATTATTTAGCAGACATAGCTTTTGGGAGACAGATGTATCAATGGTGTGAATAGATTGCAACGCGAAAATAAAGGAGTGCTGAGATGTGTGTGATTGTCTTTCTTATGCTCGGCGAATGCAACTTCCATCACTGTTGTCTCTGAAAGATTGCTCGCATCCGGTGAAAGCACCATGCAAGTAACTCTAAATGAAGGCGATGTATCCACCAAGATTGAAGTCGTTATTTGTTGAGTGTGTTCATTTTGAACACAAATATAAGTGACCGAGATATTTGTTGCGAATATCGACCCAGTGGCCCCCTTGGAACTCAAGGTTTCCTTGCCTTTGGAATAGTCCCAAGAGGTGGAATAATGGGTACTTGCGTTAGCATCTGTTGTGTCCCAAGATCCCTTGGATACAGTATGAGAAACCATGCTACTCAGTGGCTCGGAATCGAAACCAGTTCCGATCATGCCGCACCTTTTTTGTTTCTTTGATTGTTGGAAAGTGAATCTAAAATTTGGTTTTTTTCATGCTTCCGCTTTTTATGTCTTCTTAGCCTTGTTTTATTACTTGTTGTAATGCGTCTCTTGGTGCCTATGTGGTACTAAGTAATATGATCGGAAACAGCTTTAAGGATGCTGACTGGATTGAAATTTTTCTGTAACCTATTTCACATTAAAGGAATTTGTATCTTAAACCGATTTCCAACACTATTTATTATACTGAGTGAGTGAAACAACTTAGAATCAGTTACTGGTTGTTGGTGGCAGCCAGCAGTGGAATTCAGGAAATATGTTCGGCCCTTTTTGGGACTGGTCCAGGAATCCTAGCCACCATCAACAAATTACAACAATGAACCCCCAGGGAACATTGCGGCTCATGTGCCAAACAGAGGTCAGTCTTGTGTAACAACAGGAAATTAAAAGTTTCAATAAATGAAAAGAGCAGGACTTGTAGGAAATTACAATGAGCGAGTCAGCATTTGATTCTAGTTTGAAAATAGGATTTAAAGATGATGATAATTTTAAGAACAATGATATTTTTATTCCTGAAACAGAATTGAACCACTTATACCGATGGGAGCATAAAAAGGTGGTTACGTTGGTGGTACATATGAACATCATTTTCCTACTTACGAAATGTATCATCCTCTATAAATCCCACGTCATGTTTGTTGAAACCTCTTGAATTAATTTCCGTATTATTACATTTATCAAATGCTAAAGAGTCACAAAAGTTCTTAAGAAGAATGGAAGAGTTAGGATTTTGATTTCGGAAATTTTGTATGAAGTTTCTATGCTCATAAGTAAGAGTTTATGATATTTTCGAAATCACTGACTCCAAGTGTTTGCGCTACAATATGAAAAAAACCGTAAATCTAAGCTATGAAAACTATCTTTTGCCTTATATAAGGAACACCATTTAGCCGCTCAGCCTGGTTATTCATGTTGTGCTTTTACATTTAAGCAGTTAGGGATGAAAGATGAGTTAGACACGCACCAAAGTGTATTGACATCATAGCTTTCGTAGCGATAATCAACTGATGCGCTGACCATAACAAGAATTCTGACCTTACATGTTTATGCAATTTGAAAATCGAGCAATATGTGGGCTAGAC